AGGGGGTCTCCGAGGTGGGGGGCGCTCAGGGACACCCCTGAGCTTAAAAGGGCTTAAAAGGGGCGAGACCCCCGGCACCCTTCCGCCACAAGCGCCCACCAGTGGGGCCAGGGGCTGCCCACAGAGCAGTCCCCAAGACAGCCACACCAGTGCCCAGAAAGGGGCCTGGGGCATTGCTGCCCAAAGCCCCTGACTGCCACCTCCCTCTTTCCCATTTTCGGGGCGCAGCACCGGCACAAGTTGCTGGGGAAGCCCACAGAGCCCCAGCCGGGACAGTGACGCACCCCACACTGTCCCTCGAGCTGCGGCTGTGACCCCGAGACCAAGAAAGCTGATGTTCTTACCACATGGTTGACATCGCATTGGCTGGAAACTAAAATTTGGGGGTTGCACGGTCAAGTTTCTTTTATACAAGTGACAGACATCATTCACTCTTGGTAATTTTGCCTCCAGCTGTTATCAAAAAGGAAATATAGCCAACCACCTGAACTGATGCAGAAAAAGACAAGTCAAATCCATAGCAATGGGAAACTTTAAAAAAAAAAAAATCTTAATCTGCTTCCCTGTCTCTTCCTAAGAAGTATTTAGGAATAAACAAGAACGCAGTCAAAGTGTTTACATTTTGGTGTAATTTATTGGCACAAAAATATTCAAATACAACATGGCATCTAAACATGGCTACTCTGTTGTATTTTGTGCATTGTTTTTAATATGTTTAATTCATTTATCTTCACCCTCATGTTTAATAACCATTATTTTCTGTTTCAAGTTATGACCAGTTCTCCCCACGTCTGCCTCCTATGCCAAGTAATAACTTTCCCTAGTTATTTCCCAATACTGCTTTTTAATCCAGACACTGCGGGAAGCTCCCAAGTGGTATTTCGTTTGTACCCTGCATCCGGTTTGCCACCGATCAATCCGCATAGAGGCACCTGACTTTGCTCAGCTCAAGGTCTTCAGTTCTTGGATCTGCTCTAATATCCTGATCTAGTCTGAAACACGACTCCTGCACTAGTGTAATGAGCGGATATACAGTTTCCAATTTTGGGGCAAGAATCGAGTTTGAAAACAAGGTAACAGGATGAAACAATGGTGAAATTCTGCTTCTCTTCTCCTTCTTTCCAGTTATCCAGCTCACCCCCCCAAGCCTAAATGAAGCCCCCTGCACAAGTGCATTGAGCCACACCAACAGGACTGACCAGGGCAATAATTAATCTGCAAATGACTTAGTTACATTGCAAAGTAAGTCAAAACCCGTATATAGTTATTTTCGATGGATCACCAGTTCCCCAAAGACCAAGTGGAACCATAGACATCTGTGGTACAATCAGTCTTCACTGTCCTGGAAACCCAAATCAAGTGTTGTGTTTCAGACAGCTTGTGTTTCTCCAACAGCAGCTATACATTGGCTTAAACCAACTTTTAATATACAATAACTCTTTTCATTTACATTTCAAAATATTTGACAAAGGCTGTATTTCAGTCCAACGTTCAGTTTATGTTTGTAGAAGAGCAACTTTGGAGTGCAAAAGCCTCCAGAATAAAAGGCTGTGGATATTTTGGAATCTTCTGTTACCAGAAAGGACACCTAAAGGGAACAAAGATATTGTAGTAATGCTGACTTGCATATAGTTTCACAAAGGCAACACTGAGAAGGACCGAGATTCCATACTAACTAGGCACCATTTTAGTATAGGAAAAGTTGACAGGTGATCCCCAGAAAGTTAGCTTCTTTCCAGCTAACTAATGTTTAAAAATGTGAAAAAGATCTACATACTTAAGCATAGTCCAAAGTTAGCTAACTCTCAAAGTGAGAGTAAATTGTCTTTGTTTACTTTAGAACATGTGGTTCTTCACTGTAACTGAAATCAGTGACCATCACATACCTCATTTCAAACACTTAAAATGTTGAGACTGATTGCGGTTTAAACGTTCTAAAATCCCTGTCACTACTTAAAACAACTTTCTTACAGAGGACTGTCTATGTGATCGCTGTCATAGCCTTGCAAAATTTACCAGAGCAGATGCAACATGTGGTAAGGCTCCTACACATAACTAACTACACAAGTGACATTTTCCGTAGCTGTTCTCTGCTCAGATTATTCAGAGAAGAATTTTGCAAGGTTAGCTGAATGACAAACTCACCATCCAATGTAGCACTGGCACAGATTCTCATGAGAAGTAGCTTGCTTAATGAGCAATTCTACTTGTGTGGGTACATCAAGAGTTTCGTCATGAGAGAAGTCTCGACCTTTGAAATTGAAGGATTAAAAAAAAAAAACATAAATGGAAGTCACAAATCATGTAACATAACTTGCTTCTGGGTGCCAAATTAAGGACTGATAGGACTTTTAACTACCCTTCCCTTACAGTATATAAAATGCAAAATTTTCCAAACATGGAGAACCTCTAAAGGCATACAGAGCCCAGAACTCTGTTTTCCCTATTATTACGGTTTCTTCCTTTTATCTTCTCCAAATAATGGATAAACCAACAATAGATAACTTTCCACCCTTCAAGTACATTATTTGGCAGGTGGGGGGTAGTTTCTTATAAACTTTAGGAGCATAAAATTTCGCAACTAAATGCTGCAAACTATAAAGCCAGGACAGTAGAAATTCAACTTCTACTAACAAGCTAAGATACACAATATACGAAGTCTATTTAGTTACAATCACCTCCGTGCTTTTCAAGTCAGGCTCCTTTGTATCTAAATGCAGGCACCAGTACTCTGGTGTTAGACAAAAACAGGAAAACAGCCTCATCCACTTAATCATGTTAAATTCAAGGATTAACATAAAATACAAACACTAGAAGTAGTGCTGATCCATCTCACCAGATTTTATGTTCATCTTATATAAATATAAAAACATGCTCACCAGTGAGCTTATCTCGAACCCTGTTGATGATTTGAATTGCCTTCTTATTTAGAGCTTCTGGCTTCACTAGACCATCTCCTACTAAAAGACAGAAGTAGGAAAGAGAATTAGGACTTCATCTGAACAATAAACACATCTGTACTGCTGTTACAGCTGCCCTTCCCAAACACCACAAATACCATTTTGAGAGCAAACAAACCTAGATACCAGTACATTTTCTGTCACCGGGTTTTTTTTTCTTGTTCTGTTTTGTTTGGGTTTGGTTTTTTTTGCTGTTTTTTTGGGTTTGGTTTTTTTTGAGTTAAGAACACAGATAATTATATTCCTCGTTTATGCTGACGAGGAACTGTATCTGTCCCATCTCATGTAATTGTATCTGGATCATGATGAAATTTTCTGATCGAAGAACAAATTTCTGCATCAGTATAGAAACAACAATGAAACTTACTGAAGGAATGGATGGATTCAGGCACTGTGGTCCCAGTTTTCTTATGGGCTGTCTCACCCAATTCCACACTGTCCAACATTTCTATTGAAAAAAAACATGAAAACATAAAAGCGTAAATGTGAAGCTGAAAAGCAGATAAAATAACATTCTCCCGGAAACATTAACAAAACTATTAATCAGCTCATTTGAAAAGCATATTTGACTGTGACCAAGTGTACCACACATCTCTATCACTAAGGGAAGCATAGCACAGGAGCAAACATTATTTCCCCCCCCCACTAACATACTGAAAGGCCTGATCCAACTTGTAGGAACATTTTGTATAAAAGTGTAATTGAAAGATATTTTGAAATGATGTGCAACTGATCTAAAATTATAATCGAATAAGTATGTTTATTTGTAGAACTCTCCATATGAAACACTGTCCCTATTCTGCAGTCCAATAGTGAACAACTGCTAAGATTCAACGCAAAGCTCTCAACGTTCCGTCAGATGACTACTTGCCAGGTTTTGCACACTAATATTTGGTAGCTAAGTAAATAACTATGACATATACCTTGGATTACATCAGTCTGTGTGTGCTCCAGAAGGGTGTTAATATAACTGTAAAGGAGCATCTGCTTTTTGAGCCAAAGTACTGAACTCACGACTTCCAGACCTAAAGCTAATGATAATGAGCTGTTTATCTATTTTTGAGAAGACAACTGAAAATATTTACCCAGTCTTGTGCACTGCTAAAAAAACCCAAGCACTCCAAACATTCATGATATACACCATCTTTTCTACTCACCTACTGACTGACCAGCTGAGTAGGAGTCTGTTCTTGTTCGTGAGCGCTTATTGCCCTTTGTATTTGCTGCAAGAAAATAAGGAGTTGAAAAGCATGAACGGGAGTTTCAGTGTTTCATAGCGAATTTGTCCACAAAAAATATGGATTTGACTGCCTTTCTCCTTCTCCAAATTTTATGGCACCTGAAAAGAGCTTTCAATCTCCTGATGACCACTAATACAAAACCAACCCAAATTTTGCTTGTAGCTTAGTTCGGTGTCTGTGTTTAAGGGCAAAAGGGTTTTAACCACTGTGGTAATTTCACATTACAATCGCTAAAACTGTGTGCGCACAGAAATAGCACTTGCAAACCAACAATTTCATCAGATTGTCTTCAAACAGACATTGGATTTCAGGCTTCTGGATTTCTTGTATGAAATCAGACTGATTACTCTCTTGCTGTCACTGTTTCATCAGAATCACTTACTGTCCATCAGCCGCCAATTCAACAATGGATCATACACAAAGGCTTCAAGCACAGCCATGACACTGTCCTTATGTTCACGCAGGACTTCCATCACTGTGTGACAGGTGATTCTGTAATTGCCATCGAGGCCCGTCACCTTCAGAAAAGAAAGAAGTGAATCAACCATGCTACTTCGTTTACTACGCAACTCCAGCCCTAACGTTCAGGGAGCAGGAAGCGGCTTCTGCTTTGAACTGGAATTCACTTCCACTACGCTTTATTCATTAAGAGAACAAGATAGATGTTCATTACAAACTAAGAAGCTCCCTTCTGCCATTAAGATGATCTTTGCGAAGTACCATGCCATTGGCTGTGTCAGGTTGATGCAAACAGCTATTTGAAATGAGGAAACTAAGGAAGGCCTAAGAAATTGGAGGAATTTCAGGGGTTTTTTGCATCAATGAAAAAGTTGCTTTCCACTGTAATGTACTGTGAAGATCACAGGAGATATTTTAACTTACGGAAAATGCAGCTGAAATATTAACACCTCTGGTTCTTACAGGAGTGGAGAGGTTTAGCCACAACAGAAAATACAGGAAAAAATGAGAAACTGGTGCCATTTTCCCTAGAAACAATCCCCTTCATATTAAAGAGGGGATGCTTACCTCCATAGCATTTGTCAGCATCCTTGTTAACCTAAATGGAATCTTCTCAGGGAATTTTTCTCTTGTCATTGCAACCTAAACACACAATGATGGAGAATTAGTAAATTAACAGCTAACTTATCATTTAAGAGTTAGTAAGTATTGGGGTTTTTTTGCTACAACCTTGAAGGTTGTATTCCAAATAGGAAATAAAGTCCCAGATTTATGTTCCTCAGTTTCCACAGATTTTTGGGAGAAGCTAGATAATTAACTTGATAACAGAGGGAAAACTCAAGTGTGTGCCCAGTTGCTAGTGTCAAGTAACACAGACTCCCTATCAGCAGCTTAAATTGCTCCAAGAAATTCTATGGAAAAGTGATGTTAGCACTTCTTTGCTTGTTCCAGTGGTCAGCTAATCCCCAAGACGTGCCTCTGAGATAAAGTATCTATTATTTTCATCTTGCCAGTAGGTAAAGTGAAGCCCGAAAGAGAGCCAAAGGGCTTGCCCAGGATCACACTCCAAGGTCAGTTTGTCCTGGCTTATAGATTCGTTTCTGTTCCACCAGAAAATGTGAAATATTACAGAAAATTTAATGTCCAAATACAAAGATTTACCTCAAAACAGTCCCCGAAGTCGATATGCAGGATCTTTCCACTCAGTCTGTCTAACATCAGATTGGAGGGGTGTCTTTGATGAAGGAGTAGGAGAAAAAACAGAGTGACAGACCATTATAAAAACCCAAAGTAAATCACAGCAGCTCCGGTCTGAAATGATATTTATCTTCATGAACAAGAACAGCCAGTGACAGCTTGCTTGTTTGAGAACTTCAATCTCAGGATGAACAGAATAGCTTCCTGATAGTGCTTCTATCACATTATTTTTGTAATTACTTCTCAGGAGTTAGAGATCATCTCACCTTGGAAGATAAACAACCTATTGGACCAGAGACATCAGTACATTTCTTGGATATGAACATTTATTTTTCAGTTAGGATAAATTCTTCTACTTGTTTTTATGCTTTTTCATTTTTTCAGTAGAGAAGAATGTAATGAATTCTCTACTGAAATCCAATTTGCTACAGGTGAAGCAAATTGGATTACCACAAGAAGAGAAGAGAATCAATCCAGACTAGGAAAACCACAATGCTGCTATTCATGCTGACTTGTTCCAATTTTGTTTTAATTCAGTTTTCAAAGGTTTATAATTTCATTATAAAGACCTTTAAGTTCAGGAATAAAAGCTTTTGTTACGAAAACATTTGAGGGTTTAGCTGGTTTTGCATTACAGACCTTAAATCATATTGTCTTCAAAAGTATATTGGAAGTTATGATGTCCCCTTTTGACAGTAAGCCATATATTAAATCAAACATTTGTTCATTTTATCTTTTTTTTCCCATTATTTGCTCAATCCATTTGGACTGTACATACTTCCCTCCAGAACATGTCTGCATTGCAGATCAGAAAAAGCACCATGTTAAGTAATAGTTAAACCAACATTAACTTTCATTTATTTTAAGTCTACAGCAGTCTTTGGGGAGTATTTATGGGGACTTCATGTGTCTCTCTGACAACTGCTGTGAACACACATAGCACTAGAGGTTCCTGCTTCACAGAATAAATATCCATTAGGCAAGAAAGTATGCAAAATAAGTAGTGATACTGAACTCATTTGGAGGGAGAATCAGAAGACCTCTGCCACTAAATACTTTCTGGATTTCTTTTTGCTACTTCAGGGAACAAAAACTGATGCTTGATCATGGTGCTTCTTTCCTCCCCAAAAAGCTGGATGTACACGTACAGTCCTAACAGACTTTGCAAGAAAATTGCCGTCTCAAATGAATGAAACACACGCAAGCACACAGGTTGGTGGCAAAAGTCAACAATATTTCTGTTTTATAGAATGGATGGAGAAAGATTTCCCAATCTGTGAGTGAAAGGACAAAATTAGAACTTGTGGTCCTTGATATAATTCTGTGTGTATTCCTCTCAATATGGAAGAAACTTGTATTTGTACTCAAGATACACAAACCCTACATCTCACGCCTGCAGTGCTGAAAATAATGGCAGCAGAATTAGGTCCTGAAAGACGGTATCATTACAACTCAGCAGTAACGACAATGAAAGATGTTATCATAAGAACAGAGCCAAGGAATGAATTGATAGGCCTACATAGTGTGTGCTTTTATTTAAAAGAAACCTTTACAATTTCACTTACCTGTCCCCAAGGCCCAAAATGTACCCAACCATTGACATTACAGCTAGTGAACGAGTGTAGTTTGTTCTTCTGTCAAACCACACCTACAAGCAGAGACAAAATAGAAAAAGCCAGGCAGGCATGTTGCATGTTTCAGCTTATATTTTAATTTATACATTAACAACTTGCATTTTGCACAAAGCAAAACTGTGATATGCTTAGGTTCAATACACCCCATAGCCTGAGGGGGTTCAAACATCCTGTGGCCTTGAATTAGATGTCTAAGCCATTAAGAGACTCTGTTCTGAGGCTCCTGCTTTTCTCTCGCCAGGTACAGTATATGGAGCTTCAGTCCCCAGTCTTGTGCTTTGGACTGCACTCTGGCAGCCATTGTGATCTGACCCTTATAAGGCCCCTTGAGAAGGGATACACATGTGTGGATACACGTTCTGCAGTGATTCATCTGGAGTTTATGATGAATAAACACCATCTCTCACTCGTTCTGCAGAGAAGGTAATTCCACAATATGCTGGTTGCCAAACACAAGCCATTACGTGTGCTGAACTCACCTCCGAGCTTGGACTTTTCAGCCACAGCAGTTTGGCAAGGTCATCGCCAGCTGTGTTATTGACAGCATGTTCAAATACTTCTACTTTCTGCATCAGAGTCAGGTGGTCATAATCTGGAGCCATCTATAATTGAGAAGTGACACTCAGCAACTTAAAAAAACCACCTCCAGTAATCCCTAGTTGTACTATGAGAAACACAGTAATCACAAATAATTTCAATATAAACTTGGTATGAAATTATTTGTAGACTGACCAGTATGTGCCCAAACACAGTGAGATGACTACTCAATAGTGAAGAATTCATTTTAAATGGGATAGCAAATGATTCAACATCCACAAAGTAGTCCATACCCATATTTAATTAAAATACTGCGAAGGCAAATATGTTTCAAGAAACATTATCCAAACAAGTCTTCTGGGCTGGCACATGCTTTCCTTTTTGGCAGGCAATTCCAATTTTTCTAGTAATGTTCAGTTTCTCTAGTCTGTCTAATTTTGGCCCTGTTGCTTAGACACAATGTTTGTAAATGCCAGCAGCGTGGCACCTTGTATAAGGCACATCATAGTCATGCAAAATTCCATACACATTTTAGTCACCAGATGGTAACAACTTATGGTCACTGCTAAAACCGGAAAGGAGAAACAAATAAACGTATGGCCAATTTTACCTCTTGGTAGCATTTTATAACTCTTATCTAGTATTTTTGCATTTATTACTGGTACCAATAACAATCAGAAAACAGGCAAAGGAAGAACAAGCTGCGCACCATTATTCTTCATTAAGACACTGGAGTCCTAAAAGAATGTACCAAAAACTCTGCCAGCTTTGCCCTTTACCCTCAGCATGATGCGATGTTCAATGTTGAGCAGGATCTTTTTCTTCTCTCTGTAGTCTCGGATGAGTGCGTGCAGTGTGTCACAGTGGGGGACCCAACCAATCAAGCCTGAATTTGTAGACAGTGGAATAACAGCGTATCTCTGGATGCTACAGGAAAAAAATGGAGAATCAGAGCTCAAATTGATGTATGTTGTGAATTATTACATTTTGAGACGCTTAAAACAACTACTACTAAATCTGAACTCTGATCCAAATTGTCTCTTCAGTAGTTGCTCTGCTTTTCTTCTTTTCAGACCTGAAATATTCATTTGGATAGATTGCTGCCAGGTAATTTACAGACATTCTCAAAGCTTACGTGGTTTTCACTGAAAGACTGCTTTCAGAAGGTACATGTTATGTCACCATGATGATCTATTATTTGCACATGACATTTGATATGTTCATGCTTGAAAGACACTGTACAGAATTGCAGTCAGTGACTATTCACCAAGCTATTTAGTGAGCTCTTTAGTGACTATAATAAAAAATCCTTGACAAAAAAACCCTGTTCTCAGGCTCCTAAGGCAGCACCCAAGCTATCTTGAAGTAAGGGTTGCCTCAAAGACCATAACTATTTATGAGATGGGACTTCAATTAAGTAAAACAAATGATCCCCTCAGGATACATTTCCTCCATGTTTGAATTCCTGAATGTTTTTTTTCGTTCTCTCTTTTTTTTTTTTTTTTTTTTTTTTTTTTTTTTTAAGATTAACTTAGTTCCAAGATTTGCCATTTCCTCACAAACCAGCTGGTTGTGCCAAGGGTTACTTGGAAACTGTCCCTATGTAGGGTGTCACTTGTGCATAAGCACATTCAGTGATTACCAACAACACATACCTGAGGTTTTTACGAAGGGAAGTTGGGTCATTTGCTAGCAGAGTGTTGACCAACCCAAAAAGCTGCATCACTCTCTCATCTTGGCGAAGGTCTTCGTGACCTTTCAGAAGGAACACAAACTCATGCCCGTTGCTTCCTGCAAAAGAATTAATACACAAAAGTTTACTCTTGCTGAACAAACAGACAAGAGACACGTGCACCCAAGAACTGGAAAGCGTGGCAGTCAGACTGACCAGACCACTAAGAAATACCTCACTTGAAAGGAAGTGTTGGAGAGGTTTTACCTGGTAAATATGTAGTTTGGCCTAAAAGCAACGACTGTTTAAATACTAGAATAGCTAAGTGAAAACTGCTCTCTCTTACCCATTAATGTTAACTTCCTGGGCCGTTGCTTGGAGGTGATGACCTGCAGCGAAGGTGCAATGGACTGAATGCGTATGATGGGCTGGTTGGGATCGTATGTTCCTGGCACTGCCAATTCCAGGTCCCGGCACATTAAGAGTTTTGGTGACACGTACTGTAGTTCCAAAGAAGTGAGCTACCAAAAACAAAAGAAATACAACCCCCCAGAATTTCAGTTAAATCTCTCTGAAACATCTGAAGAGTTCATGCTGTCGAGGGACCTAAAACAGTTCAGTCAGTCGTCAATACTTCAGATGCTTGCAGGAAGTGCTGCTTAAGCAGCAAACTTGCAGCAAATCATATGCAAGTATTTCCAGAATACTGAATTTGAATGTTTTGAATAACCAGAAAACATGAAACAAAGATTGGTATTGACAACTTGCACTGTAAGACCCACAACAGAACTGTACCTCTCCCCCACCTGAGGCAGCTGCTTTGAGATACGCCGGAACACATGGTAATAGAGATCCCAAGCCTGAGTTAGGTCTTTGACATTTCCTGATTTCATGTACTTCCTGCACCATTCCTGAGCTTCCATTAGATCTCTGCCATAGGCCTAGGGAGGAAATGAAAAACAACAGAAGAAAAACATTTCTACAGACTATAGCGGAACAGGTGGAAACCACTTAATACCTACAAAGAGCATCACAGTTTATTTTCAGATTGCATTACAAATACTCGATCTCACATTTTTATAGCATACTGGAATTAAAGATCCAGAAATTCCTGGATCCAAGACATGCACTGCATTTATTAGGCAACGTTGCTCACAAATAGACTTCATGATAGGAGGCAACAGAATGAATAGAATCACCCTTTAACAGTAGGCTCACAAGCTCAAATTAATTCCTTTTGCTGGTTTGAGAGAGGTCATCTCTACTAGTGGTTACCATGAAGCAAAGCAGACTGGAGTTAGAAGAATTAACTGCAGAGCAGTTGTATGTTTTCCAGACCCTATCAGACACCCAGTCGATATAAGACTCCAGGGCAATCTGTACTACCATGGCTCCTGTAGTACTGTAGTCACCAGAAGGGATACAGATCTGAATACAAACGTCAAGCCTGCGACTAACATAATGAGTCCCAAAAGATTTACTCTTTGTGCTAGATTGCAAAGGTCCTTTGTAATGCATCTGGGACAGGTGGCTGTCCTGCCTGTTTTTGAGGGCATGCAGAAGGTTATGCTCTTGGCCATTTGCCAATACCTGATTGAAGGATGTCTCTTTTAAAGTCTGAGGCCCACGCTCCATCATTGCATGAAGTGGTTCCAGCACCTCAAACATTCCCTTCACGTTCCTTTCTCCAAAGTATAGACGAGATGCTTCTTCCAACCCTTCATGCCACATCTCATGCCATAGGATGGCTACACGGATTAGCTCCTCACTCACCTGTTTTAGGATGGGAAAAAAGATTAAAAGCCTAAAGAAAAACACTATAACTGTATACTGACTTACAAACACAAAATACTTTCTTCTCTAATGATTATGAAATATTTATTGCTGGCAGCTAGAGGGAGCCACAAGAACTCCCACAATTCTGTTATGCTTCTTTTCTGCAAAAAGCTGATCAGGCTTTTCTCACCTTATTTGTTGCCTTTGAGATTTTCAATATGTTTGTGTAGCTTGGCCTGAAAGCATTACTTTTTATTCATAAAAATCTTCAGCAAATGAATTAAATTACTCTTTCCATGCTATGCTCGGTAAGTTTTGTTTCCACTTTTTATTAAGCAAAAACATCTCTTTATGGAACAATGATTGTTCATTTATTTCTTCTCTAAATTTACTCATAAGGAGACACAAGAACTCAGTGTTTGAACATTATGGTCCTTTTTAAATTAAAGCATTCTCTTGCAATTATACTAATACCTTAACTTCTTCCAAATGCAAAAAACACAAATGAATTGTACTTGAACAAAATTAACACTAAATAGTCATTCTGTGTTATTATATCTGTGGTACATCCATTCCCGAAACTCAATACACTTTATGGTACACTAAGTACTCACCATCATTGCCTGCTGCACCAGAGTGTTACTGTGCTCACACATGTTTTTCAAGATCTTATTCGCAGCATTGTGGCGAGCAGTGGTTGTAGATTTAGAGGCCACAGTCAAAGGATAGATCAAAGCCTACAAGGGACATCAACCAATAGTATTTTAGAACCACACAGAAGAACTACGTAAATTGCAAGATTAGCAAAGTATTAATAAATAGCAGCCTTAGGGCTAGACAAGAGAAAGCAAGCTTGCTTCTAGAAAGAGGTGATAGGAATTTGCTATTCAAAGTCTTCCAAACTGAAAAGCTTACAAGGCTAATTCACTGAGTAGCAGAATGACTTTGAGAGCCTGTATCAAACTGGAAGAACAGAAAACTGTTTTTAGCCTTTTGTGATTTTCCACACTGTAGGAAGAAATTCAGATAAAATGTCTCTGAGGTAGCTTCTTAGTAGTCACTTAATGAGATTTAAGAAGGTGATTTGTACTACCCAGTACTCATTAGACGGAGAGAACTTCCCCTGCTGCATGGCTCATGCACCTCTTCTTTCCATTTTTATGTGAACAGTGCTGAGGT